GGGCCTTCTGCAAAGGGGAAGGCGCGCGCGCGCACACACACACACACACACACACGCCCACGCGTATAGAATTTCAAAGCGGGAAGGGAAACAACACAAGAAGAACAACATCATTTTCTTCTGCATTCTCTTCCTCTTGTGTCCCGTAACGCGCGAGTGTGAAGGAGAGCGGCGGTGACACGAGCGCGGAGGCGGAGAAGCGGAGACGAAGGAAACGAACACCGCAGGACGCGAAGAGAGCCACTTGGAGACGCCCCTAACGAAGACGCACACACAGAAGAGCAGAACACACACGCACACGCAGAGAGAGAGAGAGAATATAAGGTTACGGGGGGACGATAGAGCGTGCTGCGGTCTCGCGCGGTCACCGCTTTCTTCGCGTTTTACCCGTCAGGAGCTGCGGCCGCCGCACGCAATGATCACGATGGGGAGCAACGGTGTGGCGGAGGTGGACCTCCTCACGGAGCAGATGTACTCCGCCCCCGACCCGGCTGCTCGCCGGCACGCGCAGGCCTCGCTGGAGTTTCTCACCAAGGAGGAGACCGACAGTCGCCTGCAGTACGCCATTCTCCAGCAGTCCAACAGCCAGTACACCCTTGTCTTCATGGCCCAGAGTCTGGTGCTGTGGTTTCACTCCACCCGCAAGTGGATGACGCTGGAGCAGAAGCGAGAGCTGATTGTGGTGCACTGCGGCGGCTGCCTCAAACGCATGTTTGATAGCGGGGCACCGAAACACGTGGTGTCAAGTTTGCTCGCGGCCTACGCCAAGCTTACGAAGCTGGCGTTTGAGAAGGAACCCTTACTAGAGGCGGCGGTGGATTACCCTGTGGAGATGTTGATGCAGGGGCAGGAGGCCTCCCCCGAGGCCGCGCTGAGCCTGATGCTTCTCACCGCCATGGTGCAGGAGTTTTCGCGGTTCGATTTCATGAAGTCGCACACGTATCTTACTTTTTCGGCTCATCGTCACTGCAGCGCCAACTTCAAGGAGGAGTGTCTGCTTAAAATTTTCCTGGCGGTGCTGAAGCAGCTGGAGGGGCTGACGCCCAACTCCCCACACGTTGCAGAGGTCGTGAAGTTGTTGGAGAGCTGCCTCCAGTTTGATTTTCGGGCCATCATGATGGATGAGACGGAGGAGTTGCCGTTTGCGCAGTTTCCTTCGTCGTGGAAGAGCACGCTGCTGAACAAGCAGAACCTCGCCACTTTGTGGCGGCAGCACGCAAGCCTGCCCTACCCGCACTGCGCCACCCTGCTCGCGGGCATCGTTAATGTCTGCGGCGTGCACCGCACGCTCTTCGACTCCCCGGAGGAGCGGGAGCAGTACCTGGAGTACACCCTCAGAATGCTGACCGAGGCGACGATGATACAGGACGGCCGGATGAAGCTTCCACTGTACGTTGAGGCACTCGCCACCGCATGTCAACGGGTCTTGACCTCGTTTGGCTACCGTGAGTTGCGTCCGCTTAACGCCTTTGAGCCGTGGGTCAGCGCCCTCTGCATGCTGTCGGTGGAGGTGGTTTCCATCCCGTTCGGCCAGGAGGGCAGCCTCACCACGGCCAACAACATCCTCTCCTTCTGGGTCACCCTGACCACCTCCAAGCGGCGCTCTTACCAGGAGCACACGCTGCGCGACATTGAGAACTTCCTCACACAGGTGCTGCAGAGTTTTATCAGCGCGCGTCTGCGCAGCTCAGAGGAGGACGCGGGGGACCCCAACTCGGTCTGCGGCGGCGATGGCGATGAGCTGATCAAAGTGGTTCTTTCCCAGTCCACCGCCTACGCAGCCATTTGCCTGCTAGACCCCGTCACCTGCATGAGTGACCTTGCCACCTACCTCAATGAACGCGTTGGCCCCTCGCTGCTCGCGTCGCCGCTCTCCACAGGGTGGCTTTTCTACCTCGCCGGAAGCGTCATGCAGCTCGTGCTCCCCAACGCGGAGGATGCGGGGGTGACGTCGTCTTCGCATGCCTTTTCCTTCACCGTGTGGTGCGCCAGGCAGCGACTGGGTCGTGACGGAGACCCCGCCCTGTTTGGACGCTTCGTAGAGTCTGGACTGCTACACTTCCTGACGCACCTGCAGATGGTCTTTTCCGGCGCCCGTCACGGCGCCCTCTCGATCATTGTCGCAAACGTTTTTGGATCGCCCACGCGACTGTTTCAGTTTATCCTGGATAACGCGGGCCACAACCTGTTGCGTGGGCCCGACGATGCGGGGGTTGTGGATATCATCCGGGCATCCGCGGCGGTTATTTCAGACGCCTGCCGCGATGCCTCACCGGCGCTGCTGCATGACTTAAGTTTTGACCTTCCTCCCATTGCCGAACTTCCTCTGGCGCAGTCGGAGCGCACGTATAAGTTGCGCACTGACGTGATGAAGGCACTCTGGTTTATCCGTCGATTCGGACCCACCATCCGCAAGCAGGTGGAGTCCTACCTAGCTGGTGTTGAGGTAAGCATGCTGCGGACGCAAAAAGGCGAGATAACAAACCCAAGTTTTGTCGCAGGATGGCTACGTGATTTGCGCGGTGCGTGTCGGGCGTTAAGTGAGGACGCAGAGCGCTTTAATGAGTTTGTGGAATGGATCACTTACCGCTCGCAACCCTTCTTGTCTGTCCTGGATAAGGCAGCTGACTCCACCATTGTCGTGAATGCGCTGCTGCGCCTTTTGTGTGAAGTCGTGACAGCCAACAAGTACGGGCTGTTTCACGTGCGCTCCAGCAGTAACAGTGCGATGGGGCTGGTGTTTTTCGACAGCGTTTGCGGAGTAATGAGGAAGTTAGAGGCGACTGTGTTTTCCGACTACCACATGGCATCCCTTTGTGGGTCCACCGCGGAGTACGAAAAGACGCTAAAGCCGTGGATGCTTTGTATGGATATCATGAAGAAGTGCGTTCAGGGCTCCTTTGTGCCGTTTGGGGCCATGATTTACTACAATGACAAGAGCTACGAAAACAACGCCCTTCGTCTGGTGCGGAAGCTCACCATGGTGGATCCGAGTATGTTCAGGGAGCGTCCAAAGATCACCAATGTCGCGCTTGAACTGCTGCGTTCAATGGTGGAGGAGCACCTGTACTTTCCCCTCGCCCGCCTGGAGAGCGACGAGCTGCTGAAGCTGGTGGAGATTGTCATCAACATTTGCGAGGACGTGGACGCCCCCACCGACGTCCTCATGTACGGGCTGGGCTTCCTCACCTTCATTGCGCGTAGGGTGCAGGAGGTGAAGGCGATTTTTGTGACCCCCAACTTGCAGCCCGCGGAGGGCGGCGCGGCCCCCCCGCCGGTTTCGCTCTCGCACAGTTTTCCCCAAAGTATCCCGTCCCCCTCTCCGGCGTCCCGCGGCGTTCAAGGGCCGCCCACATCGCGATACTTGCGGGAGGCGGACGAGGAAATCGCCCGGCGACTCGCACCACATCATGACTTGTGGCCGCGCCTCATTTCCGTCGCGATGGGCGTCATCGCGTTCCGCGATTGCGCCGCGAGCATCAGTAGCGGGGTGGTGTACCCCATTTTCGAGGCCCACCCCCCGTTCTGGTACAACTTTGTGGAGCAGTTCGTGGAGTCGTACCCGGAGCGGAAGCAGCAGGGCGTGCGTGAGGCGCTCTCCATCCTCACCAACGCCTCGGAGACGCAGGAAAAGTTCTTCTCTGAGGTCTTCACATTTCGTCAGGCTCTGCGGCGCCTCAGCTCCTGAGACGTGGGTGGGAGTGGGAAAGAAGTTGGTGGTGGGTCCTACGCCGTGAATTTTTGCCCATTCTCTTCCTTTGTCGGCTGCGTGTGTGAGTTCGCATGGGTGTATTTTGGCTCCCAGCACGGGCCCGTTGTAATGGGCGGGGTTGATGTATGAAGCGGGGATCGAAGCAGAGGGGGGGAGGGGGCGGTGAGGAACGTGGAGGCGAGGGGTGATGATTGGGTGGCGGCGGCGGCCGTTGGCGGGGCGGAGACGCAAAGTCTCTGACAGGCAGCCGTCAGTGAAGAGGGAAAGGCGAAGCAGAGGCGGCGAAGGGAGGGAGGGGAACAAACTAACGCAAGGCAGAGACACGCTTGAGTGGCGCGGTCACTGGGGTCTGCAGTGGACACGCTGCAGCGGGTGCCCAAGCCCACGGCGGTGGTGCGAGAGCCGCCGCTTCTGCAGCAGCAGCAGCTGTTGTTGTTGTTGTTGGTTGGTTATTTGGGTGGAGTGGGGGAGTGCACGCACGAGAGTAAGTCGCCGCTCCGAAGTGAAGGAGAGAGGCGTGGTAGAAGTGACCTCTGCCGCCGCTGCTTCTTTGTTTGTCTGTTTCTTCTATTCGCTTCCCACTCCTGCCTGTGTGCGTGGAAATGCTGGCTGCCGTCAACTGCCGCTTGACGCCTACTACTCGTATAGCGTCTTTTGTGCGTCCACCGCAAGCTGCGCCTGCCTTCCCACGGGGGGCCCGCACGTGTGTTTTTCGCTTTTTTTTTTTTCCTCTTTCGTGTGCATCTCCTTCTGCTTCTTTCCGCGTGGAACACGACGCCGCGCGCACGCGCGCCTTGCGGCCTCGCGCCCCCTCCCGTGCATGACTGCCACGAGCATTCCTTTTTTTTTTCCTCCCCATTATTTTTTTTTTCTACTTTCGCCTCGCCTTTCGTGCCGTCGTCGCGCCTCGCAGGCGACGAACCCGCACTGAAGTCGATGACGCAAGACTTTGCCGCGTATGAGGCGGACTACCGGCGGCTGCTGGACCCCGCCGAGCCCCTCGACAGCCGCATCCGCGAGTTGTACCGGCTGAAGCAGTCCATTTTGAAGACCCCCGCCGGGGTGCACGTGCTCGCGCGGGCCGTCGACACCACCGACTCGGTGCTGCTGCAGCACGAGCTGGCGTACAACCTCGGCCAGAGCGGCCTGGAGGTGGCCTGCCCCGCCCTCGAGCGCATCATCCACGCCGCCGACGTGTACGACGCCGTCACGCGGCACGAGGCGATTGAGTCGCTCGGCGCGATCGCCGCCTCCTCCAGCAAGCCCATCCTGGAGCGGTACGTGGACCCCGCCCATGAGCCCAACCCGGCCGTTCGCGAGTCCTGCGAGTTGGCGCTGGGGCGAATTCGCACACGCGAGGCACGCGGGGACGCGGCGTTGCAGTTGCCTCCCAACTGCCCGTACGTTTCCGTCGATCCCGCCCCCGCCTTCTGCGAGGCGAACACCGACGGGCCGGTGCCTTCGACCGTCGAGGAGCTTGAGCGTCTGCTGTGCGACACAACCGGTGCCACCTCCCTCTGGCGCCGCTACCAGGCGATGTTTTCGCTGCGCAACATTGGCACGAAGGCGGCGGTGATGGCCCTCGCCCGGGCGCTCCGCGAGGACACGGCGAGTGCGCTGCTGCGCCACGAGGTTGCCTTCGTCCTCGGCCAGCTGGAGCACCCCGCGAGCCAGACCGCGCTGGTGGCGGCGCTGAAGGACGAGCAGGAGGCGCCGATGGTGCGGCACGAGGCGGCGGAGGCGTTGGGCGCCATCGCAGACCCCGCGGCGCTCGACACCCTCGCGCACTACGCCGCGCACCCGGAGCCGATTGTGCGGGACAGCTGCGTCGTGGCGCTCGAGATGCACAAGTACTGGTCGCAGTTCAACGCACCGCGCGGCGCGGCGGCTGCCTGAGCTGCGGCACACAAATGGATGGGGGGTGGGGGAAGGGGCGGAGAAGGGAGGATGCGGTGAAAAACTTAAAGGCAAAAAGGGGCGGGTCTGAAGGCGAAGCAGACTGCAACAACAAGAAACAATAATATCAATAGTAATAACACCAATAATAAAAAAGAAAAACAATAAAAATTAATGGATTGCATACAATGCAGTGATTTGCCTCCCTCCCCGAGGCCGGATAAGTAAGCAAGAAGGAGGAAATGCGAAACGAGCGGGAGCGGAGTGCATTGGGCGGGGGGAGGGCGAGGGCGAGGGCGAGGGGAGAGAGCCAAGGTTGAGCCGATCGGGCGTGTAGAAGAAGGGTGAACGCCACACCAAACAGGGGGATATCTCTTTTCTCTTTCCTTGCTGATTCTCCTGCTGGTTAAAAGCAAAGGAAAGCAAAGCAAGGAGCAATGGGTCGATACGGAGCCTATGATCTTTACATTGCGCCACTCGTGCGGGATTACGCGGTGTCCCTGCCGATGCTAGGGTTTTGGTTCGCCCTGCAATGGATGCTGGCGGTGCTGTACACGCGCCTCCTGGGCGACGTCTTCACAAGGCTCACGCGGCAGTTGCGCCAGGAGGTTGTTGTGCGCACAGTGAGCGCGCTGAACGGTCTACTGATGATTGGCGCGGCCGCCTGCTTCGTCTTCAACCTGCGCGTTCACAACTTTACGCTGGCGGATGACTTCTACGCGGAGATTCCTGGTTACCGCTTTTTTCGCATCTCCATCGTAGCCTACTTCGCCTGGGACATCATTGTGTGTTTTGTGTATAGATGGGACCTGCTGTGGAAGGTGCACGCCATCGCGAGTTTCTTGGGGGCGTATCTGTTGTCCTTCCCATTCTCAGACTACCACGGCTCCTACTTTACCGGCATGTTTGAGCTTAGCAACGCCCCGCTGCACATTTCCACCATTATGCGGACCCTCGACATCAAGGCGACCTTGCCCCTCGTGCTCGTCATGGAGGCGCTGTTCGCGGTAATGTTTTTCCTTATTCGCGTGCTGGGCGGCACCATCGTGACGCTGTCGTGGCTCAAACTGAGCTGCGCGCGGCTGGTGGAGAACTACAACGCCGGGGGGGTGCTGCTGCACGGCGAGGCCCCGGTGCTGATTTCGATGCTGCTCATTGTGGTGGTGCAGCTGCTGCAGTACGTTTGGTTCGTGGAGGTGGTGAGGGAGGGAGCCCGCATCCTCGTGCGCATGCGGGAGGCGTGGCGGAAGCCGCGGACCGACTGAGACCGTGTGGGGTTGCCCAACCCCGCGAGGCACGACTGCCGCGGCCGGGAGGGCGAGGGAGGGAGGCGGGGAGGCGGATAAGGACAGTAAAAGGTGCCGAGGCCCAAGCAAGCGCAGCGGAAGTAACCGCAGAAAAAGAGGGTGGCGCATGAAAGGCAATTCACAGCAGCAGGCGAGGCGGAGGGAACGGGAGGCGGGAGGCCTACTGAGGTGAGTGCGTTGTGTGGGAATGTGCGCGGCAACTGTGCTGGATGTGCGGCTATACTTCTTCTGCGCCGCCGATTCTCCTCGTTCGAGCTTCTTTCATGCAGATGCTCTGCATCTGCCCGCGTAACTGCACAACAAATTGTGCATGCGTGTATGCGTGTGTGTGCGCGTGTGTGGGAAACGTGTAGAAAAGACTATTTTATTTTATTTTAATTTTTGGTTCTGATTGGCTCTGCATGTCCAACCCAGAGCAAACAAGTACACACACACACACACACGCGGACTGGCGCCCCGTGAACCTGCTCTTAATTTCATTCTTCTTTTCTGCTCCCTCGTTTTCCCCGGCACATATATATACACACTTACACTTGCACCTGATACATAAATGTGGTCTACGCCTATACGTGGTCCTCGCTGGCTGCTCGCTTCTTTCATGCAAAATACCCCCCACCCGCCGGTTTCTTCGCCGCTACGGGCCGCAACTCCCAGAGTTGTGTGTGTGTGTGTCGTGGCGGGAAGGGGGGGGCACGTCTCCGACGTAGCATTTTGCCTGACTGCCATGCGTTGCTTGCCACAACTCCTGTGCATGTTATTTCTATTTCTTTTGTTGTTGTTTTTTTTTGTGCCCTTTTTTTGTTTTGTTTTTATTTTCTTCTTGTTTGCCTTGCCCTGGTGCCCGTCTTTGTGCGCTCTGTCCTCGCCAAGCGCCACACCGTTGTTTCCGTGTCGTCGTCGGCTGCCCGCCTCTTCTCTGGCTTCTCCGTGGGCGGGGGGAGGGAGGGGGTCCTTCTGCGTCCAACGGTGTACTGTCACCTTCACTCGGTGCCGTGTACATCGGCCCGGCTGTGATATACACACACACACATATATATATATATATATTGCATTTATATATTACATTTGTGCTATATATCCTTTTCGCGCGGGCGAGCGAAGGGGGGGAGGAGGGCAACCAAGCAAGTGAAGAAGTAAAGAAGTACACCAAGACGCGCGGATGCCCAAGCCTTCGCCGCGCAGTGGTCTGCGTCACCCACGGACGGGGACCGGCGACAGAGTTGGGGAAGGCCGAGGCAACTTCGACAGCAACGCCGCCCACCAGAGCAGTACGCCGAGTCAAACACCAGACATGTGTGACGAGCATGCCGTGGGGCGGCTGTCAGGGATAGGCCTCCCCACACACCTGCGCACCGCCCCACCTTCCTTTGGGCCGGGAACTTTGGCCGGTGCCGGGGGCAGTGCGGAGTGGCCAGAACCGCTTGGCCGGGGCGCGGGGAAGCCGCTCAGGCGCTACAGCGACAGCTTCACCGGCCGGACCAGCGAGACGATCCCGTTCTCCGCTGAGTCGCCGCGGATGAGGCACAGCTCTGGAGCCTCCGCATTCACCACTGCGCTGCCGCTGCCAGAGACGCCGCCGCTGCAGCGCGGCGGCTCCCAAAGCGAGGCAGGGGGCCTGGAGGCGTACCTCGCGGAGGAGATGCCGCGGGGGCGTTTCATCGTCGTCGACCTCCTCTCCACCTGGGGCGCCGTCCACGAGGTGGGGATAAACGGCCTGGAAGTCTTCACCGAAGCTGGCGAGCGCGTCATCCCGCCGCCGGAGTGCCTGCGACCGTCGTCGAGTCCGCCCCTCCGGGCAGCAGGGGCGGGTGACGGCAACGCGGCGCAGGAGCGAAGGCGGGCGGTGAACGGGTACTACACAGCGTCGTACACCACGCCGCAGCGTGGCCTCACCGTGATGGTGGAGTACCCGTTCACCGCAGACGCCAATAGCCCGGCGACGGTGGATGCCGTTAGCAACGAGGGCCCCCGAAGCCGTGTGGCAAACCTCGTGAACGGGATTCACAACACCCACGACGACACAAAGCTCTTTGC